TCCACTGAGCCAAACCAGCTAGGGCGTGACTTTACATTTTAAAAGATGAGTTGCCAACATTTAAAATGTGGGCCTTCCCACCAAAATCAGGGTTTCCAGTTTCCCCTGGCACATTGGGAGATGTGGCAACACTGGGCCGCTCACCAAACAGCCGTCCAGAGCGGGGCAGCATCTGCTTCTCCTCACAGGTGCTCACTCACCTGCCCCATCATCTAGGTTCCCTGGGGAGAGTGCAGTTTGCAATCGGTTAGGAAAAGGGAAGGGTGTATAAATGTGGAGTTAGATGAAGGCAAGAAAACTGCTATTTCTCATTAGAAAAACAAAACCAGCATCTCTGAAGGCTGCATCCCAACCTCACAGGCACTTGATAAGTGTGTAGATCAGTGGTCGGTAAACTCATTAGTCAACAGAGCCAAATATCAACAGTACAACGATTGAAATTTCTTTTGAGAGCCAAATTTTGTAAACTTAAACTATATAGGTAGGTACATTGTTATTAACTTAATTAGGGTACTCCTAAGCTGGCCTTTGCTAAAAACGTCCTCAATCTGATTGAGGTACGTTCGCTGAGGTCGACCCTTTCCAACTCTCCCATCCACACTCGTCTTGTATACTTGTTTCGTCTATCTCCTTTCCGAAAACCGACTTCTGTGCATGGGCCACGAAGTTTCAATCGCACTGTATTGTGCGCGCCCGTATGTGGTATTTTGTGGAAGAGCCACACTCAAGGGGCCAAAGAGCCGCGTGTGGTTGGTGAGCCGCGGTTTGCCGACCACTGGTGTAGATCATAGAATGCTGTCAGTGATCCCAGGAGGTAGGGCTGTGACCACCACCCCCATTCTATAGATGAGGAAACCGAGGCCTGGAGGAAGGAAGCCACTTGCCTGGGATTATCAGCAGCAATTAGAAAGTGGAAAGCATGATCTACTTTCTTAGTCCCCACTGGGCTCTCTGATCCATTCAGGATCCTGCAGGCATTTAAGTTTATGCCTCAGCTTGAAAAACAATACCAGTTAACATCTGTTGTGCATTTGCAATATTGGCAAGTGTTCTAAGTGCTTTATATGATTAATTCATACATGTAATATGCACAGCAACCTTACAGGTAAATAGTACTATTATCCCATTATTCCCACTTTGAATATCAGGAGGCAGAGGCAGAGAGGTTAAGCCATCTACCCAAGGCATAACAGCCTATAAGTAGCAGAGTCAGGATTTGAACTCAGCCACCCTGCTCAGATGCACCTTGGGGAGGAGACCCTGGCCAATGCTTGCTTTGCCCCTAACCTCCTGTCTGCCTCCCTGCAGGTGGTGGGCAGCTCCCTTCTCTTTGTGCATGACCACACTGGCCTGGCCAAGGTTTGGATGATCGACTTTGGCAAGACAATGGCTCTGCCTGACCATCAGACACTCAACCACCGGCTGCCCTGGGCTGAGGGTAATCGTGAAGACGGCTACCTCTGGGGCCTGGACAACATGATCCGCCTTCTTCAGGGGCTGGCCCAGAGCTGACCCGCTTGCCTTTGCGAGGATTCTTTATTGGATGGTACTCAGCTGGCTGGAGGAGCCCTGAGGTGTGCAGGGGCCAGAGTTCAGCCACGGAGGCACTGACCTCTGGGACAGGAGAGGTTGTGGCACACCACTCAAGCCCAGTGTGGAAGATCTGAAGGGCCTCGGAGACCAAGTAGCACCCAGCCTTTTCATGATCCAGGGGTTGTAAGGACTGGAGAGGGGACATGACGTGGCTGGGTCCCACTATGGGTCAGAACCAGACTGGGTCCTCTGGCCAGCCAGGAAGGTTCCAGAGGGGCTGCTGGAGGCCACAACTAAACCATACATCCTGAAACACCATTCAGATGCTGTAGGCTACAGGCCTGATACATGCCTATCACGACAGGAATGACTGCGATCACTACTCCTTGTCAGCCCCCTCCGGCTGGCTCTGATGCCAGGGACCAATCAGCTTCATCTGTGGTGCCCCAGAACCAGACCTTATTTGTGAGCAAATGCAGGAGCTGTCTGCCTGGGAGCATTATGGCCCCATCTCTTCTTTGGGGGGCCCTTCAGGTGCTGACAGCAGCTCTGAGAGGGGTGTGGCACCGTGGGACCGGCCTGAGAGCTGACGCTGCTGAGCAGAGCCCAGTGCACCGTCCTGCCCTCCGTGGCCCCGCGGGATCCTCCCTGCTCCTGGGAGAGCTCTGCTGACCCCCTGCAGACCAAAACCACCGCCACATCCTGTGCCAGCCTGTGACCAGCACAACCTCATTCCTCTGGCACCATCTCACTTTGGGACTTCCTCCCCTTACCCTGTGAGGTCTCCTTCCTCCCAGCTGACGGAGGTGGAGGGGCAGGGCAGCTGGCTCGGAACCAGAATTACCTTCCTTTGGTGGCCTGCACCCCGCGGCCCTTGGCCCTTGCGTGGGAAGTGCCCTGCTTGTGTCAGAGGCTCAGGGTGGGTGGGGCTGCTGGCTGTGACCCCAGGCTCCCAACCTGGTCCAAACCAAAGCTCCTCTTCCTTCCCTCTCCTCCTGTACTTGTAACTGGCTTCCTGGCCCACAGGGCTGGGGAGGACAGGCAGCTCCCTCTTTCTGAGTCAAAACTCTAATGTAGTCTTCCAGGGCTCAGGAGGCATGTTCCTTTTCTATGGACCTTTATACTTATTTATACAAGAGAGACAGGTAGTTGTTAGACGGGCAGTGCTGGGGAACTGGAGGCAACATCGCTTCACTGCCTTCCCCCGACGACCCCCTAATAAACAGGACATTCAAAGCCAACTTTGTGGGATTTTTTTTTAAAATCTGGCGAGTGTGGGCTCAAAGCTCAGGACAGTGATCACTGTGGTCTGGGGCAGATGCAGGCTTGGAGGGTCCTGAGCTCCTCCTCTGTGCCTCACTCTGCTGAATAAGGCAGGATATGTGTGGTGACCAAGACGTGCCGAGCCCTCCCCGGACAGTTTACCAGACGGAGTGCCAGTCCCCGCTGTGAGGGCTGCGAAGGGAAGTGCAGGTAGAGGGATTAGGGCTGGGATGGAGGATTCCCCACTTCTGGTTAGAAACACTACACTACAGAAACAAAAAGCACTATCCTTATACTACATAGTCTCTAGTCTAAAGTCCCTTTGTACTGAAGACACAGCAGTGATCAACACAGATCTGTTCCTCCCCTTTCGGAGGGGAGGCAACAGGTATTCATGAAACTAATCTCTATCTACTTATCTGTTTATATCTGTGTAAGTACTAACTGCCTGATTTGAATCCTGACCCTGTCATTTGCTAAGCTATGTGACCTTAAGCCAGTGACTGCACTCCTCCGAGCCTTAGTCTCTCCATCTGTAAAATGGGGAGGGCCTAGTGCCTTCCTTATAGGACTGGAGGATTTAATGAGTTAACACAGGTAAAGGGGCTGGCACATTTAACTGCTCTTGGAAACATTTCTTCTTTGTTTTTAAAGGAGAACAGAGATGGGGAGGGGCTTAGCCCTGACTGAGGGAACCTTCCTTGAGGAAGTGATAATAAGCCAAGATGGTGTAGGGGTTCAGACCAAGTCACCCCAAGATGTGCCTCCGTGGTATGTGGGTTGTTGTGAGCTAGGGCAACCAAGACACCACAAGCTCAATGAAACCTCTGCCCCATCCACCCTTTACTACCTAGAAGAATTTGAATTCAAGGTCTTGCCCATAAAGACTGAGATAACGCCGTGGCCGGTTTGGCTCAGCGGACAGAGCGTCAGCCTGCGGACTCAAGGGTCCCGGGTTCGATTCCGGTCAAGGGCATGTGCCTTGATTGCGGGCACATCCCCAGTAGGGGGTGTGCAGGAGGCAGCTGATCGATGTTTCTCTCTCATCGATGTTTCTAACTCTCTGTCCCTCTCCCTTCCTCTCTGTGGAAAATCAATGAAATATGTTTAAAAAAAAAAAAAAAAAGACTGAGATAACCTTTTCTGACCTATCTATAGGGCAGGGTAAACTTCTAATTGCTGAACATCTGCTCTCATCATCCTGCAATGACCTTGCTCCCTCTGAAGCCCCATGATTATCCTTAGCTCAGAATGACATATATACCTCATTTTCCCTGTCTGGTCTTAAGGTAAAAACATTCAAACCTGTAAAGAATTTGTGTGAGTTTATTTGAGCCAACCTGTAGACAATTGCTGGGAAGCAGAATTTCAACGGATTGGGATAATGCTCCAGGGAATAGCAGTTTTTCATCTATTTTTATGCATTGCACTCAAAGGAGGGGACGTAGGTGGGTTACATGAAATCCATTGGTGATAGATTAGAGAGGCGGGGGAAAGCGAAGCAGGGAAAACTCTGGGATTGGATAAAAAGGAAAAAGATAGACACCTACTTAGGTGGGTGCAGGATAGTTAACAGTCAACATGATAACAGTAACAATGAAGAAAGTATGGTCTCCTGTCCTGGCACCCAGGGCATTTGGTTGTGGCCTGAGGGGTCCAGGAAAAAGGGAAGTTACAAGTTACCCTGACATTTCAAGGATATGTTATCATAGATGCAAAAAGACAGATAGGCTGTTAAAGTAAAAGTTGACCTTGTCAGTGAAGATACCTGCCTAGGACATAGCTTCCTACCATAATTGCTCTTAGTTAAAGTTAATTTCAGGCCATCCTTGTGGTTACTTTAGGTCTCTGAGTTTGCAAGACTGCCATGCAGGCCTTCCTAGAGTTTGTCAGGTTAGCATGTGGCCCCTTTTGTTCACACTTGGTATCTCTCATGTATGTGGGGTTGCCATGTGTATGTATTAAATTTGGTTACTTTCTTGTTAACCTGTCTCATGTAACCTCATTAGAAGAGATGAAGGAACCTTGAGGGGAAAGTATCTTCCTCTCCCACACTGGGAAGTTGAGTTCCGGTCAGCAGAGGGCTGCAGTGGGGTTGCACCAGGGACCTGAGAGGTCAGTGTGGCTGGTGGCAGGAAGTGTGAGGAAGAACAGCCTGGGATAAGGAGAGGTGAGCTGGGGCTGGGAGTTTAATTCCTATTCTATGAGGAACAAGAAGCTGCTAGAAGTTTCTCTGGAGAACTAGTTTGCTTTTTGGGGGCTCCCTCAGCCCTGACCACACGTGAAGATCCTGGGTGGCAGCAGGGAGCCCAGTGAAGCTCTTGCAGCTGTCCAGAGAGATGTTCATGGTTCAAAAGAGGGTGACCACCAATGTGAAATGAATGGATGCAACATTCAGGTGGGTGGACAGGACGCAGGGTCTGAGCTGTTGTCAGTCTCCCCTGGAAGAGGGAACTTGTCTGTCCTGCTTCTGGCTCTAACCCCAGCCCACACAGTAGGTGCTCAATACTGAGGGGATGGGCTTGGGGATGGAGGAGCTGGGAGGATGCCCAGGCTTAAGAATGGAATGGCCGGGGGGACCTGCAAAAAGGACCTCTGGCTGAAGGTCCTCAAGAGATCCTGCCCAAACCCTGGGGTGGTTACACAAAGGGAAAAGCTGGGGTCTGGCCCCTATCACCCCCAGTTTAGGGCAGCAGCAGGCTAGGGGCTGGAGTCCTATGGTCTGAGGAGCAGGGCCTGGCCACAGAGGCCAGCTCGTACCCCACCAGCAGGAACCACATACACCCGGCCATCAGCGGCCCGAGAGGGTGAGAAGTCCGTCAGCTGGAGGTTGCTATCCTGGACTTGGTCATAGTCCCACAGCTGGTAGTGCCAACTCTTGCCCTGCTTGGAAAGAAGGTAGACTGCTCCCAGCGAGCCTTCCTCTGGCAGGGATGGTAGTTGGTGGGGCATGCTGGGCACTGGGTGAAACAGGCCTGGCAGCTCAGGGTCTTCCTCATAGCCGGGGCTTGGCACACCCTGAACACCCAACAGGACCCCTGCAAGGAGAGGGGGAGGCTTTCAAGGGGGTGCTGAACCTTGATGAGCTGGGGCTCACTGTGTTTTCCTCCACAGCCTTTCAGGGAAGGTGCTGCCTAGTCCTCAACACTACAGAGAAGTCAGGGGGGCCATCGGGCACACAGCTGGGCTGGGACTTGGAGCCAGTGTGTCTGGCTCCAGAGCTTCAGGCATTTTAAGTCCTGCCTCTACAGCCTGTCAGCACTCGGAGGTGGAGAGGAGACATTAAACAGAGCAAACATCGTCACCCAGTCGTCTCCCGCTGTCCAGGTGGGAGCCGCTGGGAGTGGAGCTCTCAGGCCAGAGCCAGGAGGGGGGTGAGCAGAGACTTGATCCAGGCCACCTGATGGACACAAATCCATCCTTTTTTCCAGGCCGGTGGGATGAGGACAATGCTAGTCACAGCTGATGCCTACTGAGCTGTGCAACGTGCCAGGCACCATGCTCTGCCAACGAGGCAGCCCTATGAGGTGGGTGTTACTGTTACTTCAATTTCTAGATTGGCACATGGAAGCCCAGAGTCAGAGCTGGAAGTGGCAGGACTGGGCTTGGGGTCCAGAATGTTTGATCCAAAAGTCTGCACACTGAGCTTGTTTTTAGGAACCCCAGTTGGCAGACACCGAGGTACCTGCTGCCTGCCAGGTCCTGTCTTGAGGAGTACTGGGGAGGTGCCAGTGCCAGGGTGAGAATGTGAGGGGGGGGTGATGGGGGAGCTGGGGAGATCCAGGGTGAGAGCACAGGGACACAGGAGAGGGGACCCACCTGTGCTCACTGCCCAGTGGGCCTTGTAGCCCTTCCTCCGACATGGTTCATGGTTGAAGTCTTCATCGTAGCTGATGCTGGGGTTAAGGCCAAAGCTGTGATGCGGCCCCAGGGCCCACACTTCTCCACCCCGCCCTGTTCCCTTCCTGTCCTGGGATACGGGATGAGCAAGGGATGTCCAGAGACAAGGTGCTGCAGCACACGGCCTCTGTTGGGACCACCCAGGCCCCCACGGAGCAGCTCAACTTGGCAGCCCAGTGCCTCCTCAGCCAGCCGGCCCATGTTGGCCACTGCAGGGACAGAGCACACACAGAACAAGGGATCACTGTGTGCTCCTCACCATGTCAAGGGGTCCCTGAGGATCGATGCTTCTAATCCTTATTGTGACCATGAAAAGCAGAGAGAGGGTAAGGGTCCAGGGCCACGTAGTAGGAAGTGGCAGAGTTGGGCTGGGAACCCAGACAGCCTTGCTCCAGAGTCTACCTTGTAACACTGGGTGGGGGGAAGGGCCTGAAGAATGGAAGACGGTCCTCCCACACACCTGGCAGTGTCTCACCCAGCCTCCAGTGCGTTCCTGGTGAAGAAGGCAGACTTGTGACCTTTCTGCACCCAACTCACCAGAGAACATCTCTCCCTGGGCCGTGTAGCCTTTCTCCACGGCCATCTGCACGAGTCTCTCCAAGGGAATGCCGCTGGGGGGTACCAAGACAGTGCCTGCCATCCACAGGGCCACCAGCCCACACCTAGAAGAGACAGACCCAGCCCCTCAATCCCTAAGTCAGGTCTTTACTGGCCCCCCTCTGCCCTGGAAGCTGGAGTGTGGAAAACAGGATGGCTGCCTGGGGGAGTTCCCCTCCCCTCTCCAAGGCCAGGTAGGGAGACCTGATACTCTTTCATGGCAGAGAGGCTGAGCAAGTTCTGAAGATGAGGGGAAGGAAGGGTGGGGGAGATGTCACCTGGGTTTCCAGGATGAGTAGTTGCCAAAGTAGAGTTAGAAATAATGGACCAGGTGCATGTATTCACTCACTTGTTCACTGGTTCCAACTCTGTTTACTGTGCATGTGCCCAGGACCCTGCCCTGGGCTGCCGAGATGAAATGAACCCACTCGTCCCACCCTCCCGGGTCAATCCTCCTCGTTAAGCGCAGCAAAGGCAGAGGCTTGGGACACACGGCTGGCAAGGGGTTGAGGTTCCAGATCAAGGTACATACTGAGGGCCTTCTTGGATGAGGGAGGGCAAGTCTGCACAGAAGAGGATCCACTGCAAGTCACTTCTGAAACTGAATCAGAGCAAGCGCAGGTCACCCAGGAGCCAGCTGTTGTCAGTCCCCTGAGGTCTGGCTGCAGGAGGTGAAGGGGAGGAACAGAGGCCCAGCAGTCCCGGCTCCTGGCTCGGTCCTGACCTCCTTCACCCCTGAAAGGGCACTTTCCCTGCCCAGCCTGTTTCTTCATCGGCTCAGTGGGAATGACCCTCCCAACTACTGCTCCTGTTCCTTCTCTTAATTACTGAAGGGCAAAGAGCAGGTGTGCACACGTTTTACAACTAGGAGCCAGAGATTTATTGGAGAAAATTTCTCGAGGAGTGTCTCTATACCCAAACTCGGTGACTTTTCTCTCCTCAAACCTGTTTCTCAGGCTGTTAAATAAGGTAAGAATTCCTTAAATCAGTTAGCCTGGACTAAAACCAGGTAGCATGCTCCAGGCCTAGAGATCACCTTGATAATGAGCCTTTGCAGGTCTACCAGCCCCACCCTCTGGGAGGTCAGAGTGGTGGTGATGCCCATCAATTCTTCCCCCTCCACAGCAGGGCGGGGAGATGCAGGTGCTTGATTGCTAGTTTAAGGCCAGTGAAAGGGCAAGGCTGGGTGGTGGGAGTGCCCCTGATGGCAGGGACCCGCAGCTCCGCGGTTAAAGCCTGGCGCCAATGGGGCTCTTCCTCCGCTGGGCACCCGGCTGCCTTCACTGCGATGAGCATCAGTTGCTCCATCTGGAAAATGGGATAATAGTTCCTACTTCCTGGACTTGCTGGGAGGATTAAATACGTATTTAAAAACACAATGCTGGACATTTGCTAGGCACGTAATGACAGATGTTATCTGCATTAAACCTGTCTCACTATGGTGGGGCATTTAGGGCAGATGATCAACTTGCCTAGAAGGCTGGGATCATAATGAATCTGGACCCGTCACTTCTCCCTCTTCCCTCAGCCGTTCAG